AATTTTGGCATCTTTTTAGTGCAATTTTAAGATATTTTTAATGCAATTATATCCGGTCATTAATTATAACAAAAACCCAAACCGGTAGTAAACACCTACACGCAAAAACTGTGTCTAGCTAAATTGACAATTGCATTTGCGTCTAAACCCATTTTGCTTCAGGAAGACAGATAGCGAACAATAATTAATAGTGAGCAGTTTTTCTAGTTTAATGTTATATTATGTTATCTATTCAATATGTAACAAAATAAATCTATATTATAAATTATAATATGAAAGGGAAAAAAATGAAACGTATCATTTTTATTTTAATATTCAATAGAAACATATAATTATAGAACCGTGATATATATGCTACTTATGCAGTGTTTCTATAGAGAGTTGGTCATTATTTTTTTTCGAATTGATAACAAAAATGTACTGCATGCATAACGCGATAATTAGGTAAAAATTGCACATTTAATAAAGAACGAGTGGTTAATTCATTAATCTCGTAGACTATCGTCGTCAAGTCAGTCGTCTATTATCATGAACCCGCTGCTCATTAGTGGTAGTAAAACGACAAAGTTGTAGCACCAGAATATAATAGCATATGAGTAGTTGAATATCATATGATATATAAATAGGCGCAGGGGTGGGACTAGGGAGAGAAACACGCGGATTCATCCTCGGGCGTAAAATTGTAAAGAGTTTAATTTTGTAGTATATAATCTCTTGACTACAAATTTGACATTTTTAACTTCGTTACTGATAATGTGTTTAAAACTCTAAAAGTACAATTGTATACCAATTAATAAAAAAAATATATGGGGAAAGGTATTGGATTCTTTGTCTATGATAGATCATAATTTTAATATTTTCTCCAGGCGAAAAAATTCAAACTTCCACTCCTGGATAGATGTACATATATGTATCTACGAGACTTAGATATATAACTGTATATAAACAATATAAGAATGTTTATTTATTTTTTTTTATAATTAATAATTATTCACATTAAAAACAAAAAAAAAAAAAAAACGTTACTTTACCCATACATACTCGTATAATGTACGAGCCTCGTTTGGAACAATAAATGTTAAGAAAATTTCACTTAAGCACAATTAATTGTAACTATACTCGTTTGTTAGAATGCAGAATAGCTATTTATTCGCGTTTCGCTTCGTGCGGACAACATAAATATAAATCGTATAAATGTTTCGTTTTAATATTTGAATTAGCCCAATCAGAAAAACAGTACATTATATATTAGCATACATTTTATATACTTGTTCGATAAATATTATTTTTAATTGAACGTATTAATTAGGAATGCTGCGGTACAATGTTCATTTTTTTCATATACATAATATGAAATACAAGGGGAAAAAAAACCAATTTTTATAAAAATGGTTTTTATTATTTTTAATACGTTCTACATAGCTTCTTATATATTCAACATAATTCTGCTACCGACGTAACTGCGTAGTTGTTCTTCAAATAACAGTTTATTGTTATCTTATTTTACCGAGTACCTATTCGTAAATAATACACAATATAGCTACTTCCGAATGCAATACCAACCTCATGAAAAAGTACAAACAATTTACCATGTTAACTTACATTAATCATGTCCCATTTATATAATTTACATAGTGGCGTTTTTATTTTTTATCCACAAATAACAAAGTTGCAGCCTTATCCACATCGTCCATATAAAATTATTTTTAAAATGAATACGTAAATAAAATTAATTTTATCAATTTGGAAAAAATTAAAAAAATTTCAAGTATTCAATATTTTTTTTTTAATTAAATTATTGACAACTACACTTTATTGTCTTAAGTTATCGTTATGTCATTAAATTAAGATATAGTAGTCGATGACGATAACAATAATATGGACTACGTGTACATAGTGTACATAGTGGGCCTAGCCACACTATTAAATAGTTTCGGCTATTAGCTGATAACCGGAGAACGTTGATTTGAACACATCAAACAATAGATTGTTATGCAGTGCAACCATCACATACTATCACAAGGTAAAAATCCTTGACTATTAAAAAAAAAAATTTTTTTTTAAATTTTGACTGTTTATACCTCATTTTTAATTTACTGGTTCAAAATGTTCAGTTAAACGTGACCATATCATACAAGAAACAGCTAGAAAGCATTGATCAAATAAAAAAAAAAAAATTTTAGTGCATTTTAGCAGTCATTTTTCACATCTTTTACGTTATTAATTAAATTTTTCACATTTTTAATACATTTTTTTACGTCAATAATTACATTTTTAAGGTCATAATTGCATTTTTTCTAAGGCATTATAAGGTATTTTTTAGGGCGTTAAAATCCGACCTCTACTCATTACTATTAACGTTTGAAAGGGAAATATGCCAAAATCCTTAAGTATGCAGTACGAAAAAGTATATATTTTAGCATCTGATGATATAATTATCTATAAAGCACAAATATATATATTTATTTTATTTATATGTTGCTTGTTCGTGCTAGCGATTATCACTAAAAAATGATAAAAGTAAAATATTTTTCGTTGAACAAAGGGATTTATTTGCATCTTATACACATAGGCGTACGCAACCCTGTATTTCAGGGGATGCCTATAATACTTTTTAGCCCTATCTTATAATTTTGAGTTGAATATGAATACGAATATTATATGTGATATGAATACGACTGATAGCATGTAAAACGAATTATTACTATATCCGAGTTCAAGGTATATTTTTATATAATCTGTGGTGTTGGAGGAGGGGAAATAAAATAATTTCACCCCGGGCCGCATATATTCTAAATGCGTCACTGAAAAGTCACTATATTAATACATTGTATCAGCCTACTATTTTAACTAATAACGATCTTCCTATTATATTTTTGATATATAATAGATCAACTGATTAGTGGAGCAAAGACAAACATTATCACATTATACTTAAACACGCATATTAATCCATATCTCATTTTCTTTAAAATCAATTTTTTTAAAGCTACACTATAAATGAGCAAAACTACTCAGCGCATACGCAATATAAATGAATTGTAACATTTTTAATATCATTATTATTAAAAATTCAAGTCCTAATCGGCAGTTTTAAATGTTAGCCACCACGGAAATTTGCACGAGGGCAATGACGAATTTTTTCGTTGCTACGACTTTCTATATATGCGGTTAACTTAGCCACGACGTGAACAGGCACGCACAATCCCCGAAAACCTGTTCCGAGATTTTTATAAGTGGTCCGTCTATAATACGACAAAACCGGTCAAATAAAAAACATGAAAAACAAATGCATTCTCATAACGGTATCCAACCACCACCACCACCACCAACCTATAACACGCATGCATATTACACAGACTCCAGAGTGTATTTTTTATTAATTTTTAAAACACACAAATATATCTACGAAGTGAAATAAACGCTTTCTACAGAGCCGAATTGGAAAATCAAACTACCGACGACTTTTTTTGGGATATTATTAGTCAAAAATAATATAAATGTCTTCAATATTAATTTACCGGTTTGAAATCAAAATATAAAATCAAGGAGCGAATAATTGTTAACAGATATAGGTTTATATTTAAGCAATGTATTGCAAAAGTACCTCTACATAACTAAACGACAAAAAAGTCAACAATATAATATGTGGGTCAATATAAATATTACATTATATTCCATAAACTTGATTAAAACTAAACAAAATAAATAAAGCAGGTATGTTATAAATAATGGTTACCGATTCATAAAATTTCTAAAATGTAAATTGGCCATTTATAAATACATATTCAAATATACATTTTATTTAAATTAAAAACTATTGAACACATTTGTTATTTTAATATAACCATAAATTTGTTGCATATATTATGAAGATAATTAAAGTACCTGTAAAAATACTCAGAACTAACTAACTATTAAAATCTGCTTAATAGCTTATAAATCTTTAAAAATAACACAAATTTCCAATTTGTATATAAATCAAATTTTATCGCCCTCTCTTGAAATGCATCATAATGTGAGTCAAAGAAAACTTCAAATCTTCTAAAATTAAATTATTATTAACTATAATAAATATTATGTAAATATAAAGTTTCTTATGCTTTCAAAATTTCAAACCAAATTAGAAAGGTTTTTACTCTGTAACAAAAATCCTTCGGGATATATTAGCACAACATAATATATGCGCATTAGTTTCAAATGAAATGGGTATAATATACAATTGAACCAGTTTGACTACATATCTTGTACTCAGTTAAATATTTTTTTTTTTTCTTAAGGGATACATCAGTATTTTTATTAAAATACAATATAATTTATATTTAACATCATTAAAAGTGATTTTATTTCATTAGAATGATCGCGATAAACCAAACTTTTGTCTATAGCAGATCACGTAAAAAAATTAATATTATAATTGAAATATTTGTATATTATACTTTAAAAAAAAAACATATGAAGAGTTAATTATATGATGTCTTTCTAGAGATACTTTTTTAAAACAAGTTAAAATATTTAACTTTAAAACGAATATTTATTACATAAAAATCAGATTTTTTTAAAAAATTTTTAATCACAATAATTATGCTATGCTAAATAATATACTGCTAACAAATTTGTTTGAGTATAAAGTATGATAATTTATAGTATAATAATTTCAATGAGACATTTCAGTGTAAAAATAGAATTGATTATGACCTGTTAAAAATGATAAGTACATTTTCATAAGTTAATAATTCTATGAAATGCAATTTTGATTCACGCAACAAAAGATAATGCAATATATTTCAAAAAAAAAAAAGAATTACAAAAACCAACATACAATAATCACATTCCTTATAATAATAAAATTAACTAGTATTGTATATATGTCCCATTACCTAGTTGAAAGCCATAAAACTAAATATATATAATGATAAATATTAATAATAGTTAAAAAGCAAATTTTTGAAGGTGATTTATAAATAAAATGTAATAACTATGTTTGACCAAGAAGTCTGAAGGTAAACATTACCTTAATAAAACAAAATAAAAATGGAATAGTTTTTATACCATTAGGAAGTAGTGAAAACCACCAACTAGTGGTATACAGCAGTGGCATATTGTTAAGAACTCTTGTTGCGCTCACCAGTTTTGTTATCATTTAATAAGACTCTTCATCACTTGATACAAGAATCACTCGTTCTCCTTCTCGTCTACTCTTCACAATTGGTGTTATCAATTCATCAACCCACTCAGTTGGAGCAGTGCGTTTAGCAACTTTGGTCCAGCCATCATCAGACTCAGGTATATAATAATCTTCCATGTTTGTTCTAGAATAATCATGATCTTTATTACGTGTTAAACCATTGAAGTCCAACAGCTCCCCAAGTTCAGCCATAATAGTATCAGTTTGACCATCAGCAGACGATCCATTGGCAACCATGTTAAGCATATCTTTCAAAGTGGTAGTGCTTAAAGGTGATCCTGACTTGGAGAATAACAAATTTCTTGATCGACCTTATAGTTAAAAAAAAACACAATATTCAAATAAAATATTCCTTATTATTAAAATTGAACTGACCTGGAACAGCTGTATTGGATTCCTGACCTTCTATAGACATTACATCTTTTTCATCAGAGACTGTAGGCCTCAAATTAGGTGCTGCTATTAAAGCAAGTGACATCATAAGAACCAACAAACAAGTAGCTGGTTGTGCAGTTGCTCCACCTGGAGCAATAGCATTTTGTAAACGTTTTAGAGCTGCTTTCAAACGTTCATTTTCAGTTTGAAGAGAGCGTACATTTTTCATCAACTGATTATTTTCATCGGAACATTGCTTAACTCTAAAATAAAACACAAGTGTGTCAGATTTAAAGGTTTAAATAAAATTGAATTGATTCTTCTATTCTTTTACCTTTCTTCAAGACCATCAACATATTCCTTCTTTCGTTTTCTTGAATCTTGAGCTGATATCTTGTTTCTTATTTTTCGACGAATGCGCTTTAAATCTCTTTCTTCATGTTTTGTAAGAGGATAATGTGCTGGCAATTTAATCCCTTCTTTTTCCATTAATTTCCTTTCTTCATCTATAAATGGTTAATAAAATATTTAATCAATAATATTCAAAATTAACATCAGTCTGTAAAAATCATACTCGTTAAATGAAGTCGTGGATACATTGAATCGGACTCATCACTAGTACTATCAGAAACTTTTACTTTGTTCTGTTTCAAAATGGGTATAGATTTTGTTACCAAAGAATTATTATTCCTTACAAATATTCTTCTTCCATTATTTATAGACTGTAATCGTCTGAGCGAATCAGCATTTATGGTTTTACCATTCTGGTTAAAAACCTTAAGAACACATTTTAAGTATTAAAGTTTAAATTAAAAAAAAAATTAAAAAAATCATTCTTACTTTGATTGATTTGACGTTAGATAAATTTATCGGTATAAAAACTGGTTTTGTCAAATGTTTGGAAATTGTAATTGGCCCTTGTGATTGTTTTGGAGAAAGAATAACTGGGCAAGGTTGAGTTTTCAATAATTGTGGTTGTTGAATAATTGTAGGTTCTTCTTTTATAGCATTGTTATCTTCATCATCACCATCAACATCATTTAATTCTTCTTCAACATCATCATCAATATCAATTATTTCCTCTTTGACAAAAGAATCATATGTGAGATCCATTTTAATCTCAGCATTCTCAGACTTGGAAGATTCTGATGTAGGAATAAATGTCATATGATCTACAGATGAAAGTCCTATTATATATACAGAATAATATTTATAAAAATTTGATCGAATGAGTAATTTATTATTTTTAAATAATCAAAAGATTGTTCATATACTATATTATAAATAATAGGAGCATCAAAAAAGGGTATCAAGTAAGTTATCAAGTAAGGGTCTAATTTCTGTAAATTCTAGTCAAATCCTATAAAAAAAAAAAGCTTGAAATGATTTTTGAAAAACAAAAAATATTTATTTATTGGTTTCATAAATATTATTAGTTACCTAGGTTTATAAAAATGAATACCCAAAAATAAATTAAGAATACAACTAAATTTAAATATTAATTTTGATCATTCTGAAAAGTTAGAAAAAAATAAATAAAAGCTATTTTTTACTACAGGTATTAAGAGTTAAGCCTTAAGTTATAATTGAATTATTTAAAAAATATCAACTTTAAATTTCAAAATGTGTTTTACTGACACATATGTTTTGTTAGCACTAATTGTAATGCAACAAATCTATATTTTTTTAGTGCTTATATGTATTTATATTTTATATTTCTGAGCAAATTAAAGACTTAAGACTTCTAAAATCAGAAAGATTAAAGGTAGAATAGAAAATCTAAAAAAACGTATAAGGATTGGAATTGTATTTAAGAACAAAACATACCATATGTTTTACACAAAAATAAATTATTGCACATATCAGGTTGAGAATCTGGTGGTTAAAATCGCATATGGTAAAACTAGTAGGTGTTTAAACATAGAAATATCTAAAACCCTAGGTGTACAAGCCAGAATAGTATGATTAGTCAACAGGAAGTGTATAACATACCGCTGTCCGAGCATGAGGAGCTGCTGCTCTCAGCATTATCATAGGACCTCGGTGTAGTGGCCCCGCTCGATATGAAGTCATCAGTGGGCAAGAAGTCGAACGGAGTAGATTCGTCTTCCATTTTCAGCAGAGAGTCAAGAAAATTGTCATCCTCCAGGTCCCAATTGTCTTTCTATGGGTGCGGACATAAAAACAGAAACCCTTGTAAGTTATCATCATCAACATGATCATCACACGCGGATGGACACCGCGCCCACCACCGCCGCCTCCGCGTCAAAGACGAACGGTACGGGAATACATAGTATCGCAGGGAAAACACGGTATAATACTTACGCCGGTTTCGCCGTCCGCTGACGTTACGGTTGACTTGTCAAACACGTCCAACGCCACCGAGTCGTTGAGCAGCATGTCTACAATGCTCAACTGGCACTTGGGATCGGACGACGACGACGACGACGGCGACGACGAAGACGACATGGTTGCGCCGCCGGAATACCGATCGGTAAACGCGATTTGTTCTCAACTAAAAACACTCGTGTCGGCACGCGAACATTATGAGCCCGGCACAGCCCCAATCGCGAAGTACGATCCGAAAACGCTACACAACACGACGGGCGGACGATGTATTATTATGATTATTTATTTAATCGACGAGCGTGCGTGTGCTAACGGAGGTACGGTACTTCGATATGTCGGCGCGCGGTGACGGCGGCGCGTGTACGATAATTTATGTAGAAACACTCGTGACGTATGCAGAAAAAACAGCTTTTACGTGCATGTATATATGTATGTTTACGAGAGAGAGAAAAAAAACGACTACGACAAGAGCCGACGGGTTTGAACGGCTCGCGACCACTACTACTGTCACCGTACGCCGCTACTACCGTATACGTGTGTACGTATTTTTGTTTACCTGGTCGCCGGACGAACGCCGTCGATTGGCGGTCAGGCAATAGGGATGGGCCGCCGGTCGAGCGCGCAGTGCTGCCGTATCCGAAGGCGCGAAATTATTCGATCCGTGGACGCGGCCGATTATTATGGAATAGGTATAATATTTTCAACGATTTTTCTCCTCCGTTTTCTCATTTCATTAAACGGTATGTGACTGTGTGTCAACCGCGACCCCCGCCGCCGCCAGAATCCAACTTGGGAGGGAGAGAAGCTTCTGGATGGGTTGCGGCAGCCCCGGCCTAAAATTGTTCGAGGTTCCGGGCCCCTGTTGACAATTGAATATTAAAGTGGCACTGTGAAATTTTATGACAATATTGCTTTCGTTAAATGTTATAAAACAAATTAGTCACGTTCAGAAACGTATTAAAGGTCATCCATTGGGGGAGGAGCAAAATAATTTTGTGCCTCTATGCATACTGATAAATAAATATGTAAGGATAAGAGAAAAATAATTGTCTTGGCTTCGCTCGGACAATTATTTCTTCGACCTCACATTTTTATATAGTTTCAAACTTTATCGGTGTAGGCTTGATATACGGTTTCAACAATATATTTTTGATTTACAATTAAATTACATTATATTATAATAAAATCAATATTAATATAACCCGCATGAATGTAATATAATTTAGGTACCTACACATCCATAAATCATAATTCATATTTTTTGTATCTGTTTACATGAAACGTAGGTATAATAATAAAACATAATATGTATAATTAACTGTTTACAATGTAAACATATGTAAACTTTACATATTATGATATATTGCATTAATGTCATATTATACGAAATACCTACTTTGATTAATAATATAATCTCAAATAGTACATTGCTGTATAATTATTATAAGTTTTAATTTTGGTATTTCAGATATATTTACATGGTACCCTTTAGACTTTGAAGTCTGGGTAGAGAGAATATAATGATGTTTATATTATTTTGCTACAAATACTTTTGTAGAAATATTCATTCGTGTACCTTTTCTCTAAAAATGTATCGTCCCCTCAAAACTTCCACCCAGGGCAAATTTCCTTACTGCCCACCCCTTAATGCGCCCCTGGTTACGTGACGAAATGAAATTTAAGATTATTATTTAATCGATAAAAAAAAATATTAACTCTTAAGAGTTGGCCAAAAGCATTTTATCATTTATTCAACCCATCCTGTCAACTAATCAACATGAGTAATTATTGTATATTTTATAAATTAAGAGAAGCATTTTAAGAGGAGTTATAACCCGTTAAAATTTAATTCGTTTTTTGATAAAAATTCATCTAGGGTTGATTGGATTTTCCCTTCTTCAGCCAATTTCATAGGATTTATGTTGCTCGAATATGTCAAAATCGCCTTTTTGCTGAATCCCTCTACGTAGAATTTGAAGCGCTTCAAGCATTTGTTTAGTTGATGGTAGTTTCTCATCAGGTTCCGTTTTCTGACTAACACCAGCCACATTTTGTTTTGGCCGTTTTGACTGTATTTCACCACATACTTCTTCCTCGGGTACGAGTTCAATATTTTAGATTTATTTGTCAATATTGATCCATACTGGTACCCAGTGACGTAGTTACGGGGTCGGGGAGTTGTAAGGAGTTTCCACTCCCCAGATTTTTTTTTAATGATATTTAATTATTATTTATTAATATTCATATATTATAGTTATGTGATATTTTCATTTTACTACGATTAGGTTAGGTATAGTATATTAAAAATTGAATAACAAAATAATTTTTATTAAATACGAGACATAATAATAACATTTTAATGTAATATTATTATAATATAATAATATTACTTCAAAATTCGTATATTATAGGACCTCGTATTAAGATATACTAAGAATATTATGAAGTGATTTTTAAACACCCCCTCCCCACAGAAAAAAATGTATCAACGCTACTACTGGTACCGACTTTTACCGCATTTATAACACGTTTGTTCTATGTATACATTCTATGTATGTACATATATGTACATATTTTCTTAATTTATCTAATTTTAAAATGATCCTATTAACCGGTGTGTGAGTCGAGGGCGTATATCGACTCCACCGAAAAGGTCTTTTACCTGTAAGGAACTTATCGATTGCGCCAATAGTTTTATATATCGATTGTGCCGAAAATATATAAACATGTAACATCATAGGCGTGCGTAGAGGGGGCAGCAAGGTGTGTTCTTGCTGCCCCTGGACGGTTTGAATACATTTGTAAGGGCCGTACTAGTTCAAGCTGGGCCGCCACACCGGTAATGTTCAATACAAAATAAGTTAGTTATCCAAAAAGTGTATTGCTACCAAGCTAATCTTTTCTGTGTTTAAACTTTAAATAGGCTTTGAAGTTTAAATTTGAGCTTAAAAATGTTAACTTAATACTCATGTATGGGCCAGTAAAAATATTCGCTACCCCCGACTTGAAACTCTGCGCACGCCTATGTGTAAACATTACATTATATATACTATATATAATATATATATATATATACCATATCTAGCACGACGGTATAGTGGCACGAAGCTATGTATGAAAAAAAAGCATATAAATGTTAAAGAATAAATAAATAATTATAATATATATAATAATTAGCAACAATTGTAGTCGAATTGAAGTATAAATGTTGAGCTGAGCATGTTTTTATAATACATCAAAATGCGGTAGCGTATGTGTTTGTGTTTTTGTCTGAAAATAAGAAATAGGATAATGGAATATAATGTCCATTTTTAAAAATATGAACCGTAAACAGTTGATAAAAATATTTTGGCAACTATAAAATGTACCATCTACAAATATTTTGTCACTAGTGCATGGCAATTTTAAATTAAAATTTGTAGAGTAGAATAAAATATCATTTACTGTGTCAATATTTAGTAAAAAATCTGCTGGAAACAATATTATGTATCTACAAAATCCGAAAATGTTTTAATATTATAATATATATGTTATATTCTTGTATACATATATAAATCTTCGGCGGAATCGATTTATAAAAATATTCGGCGCAATCAATATATACAGATATTCGGTGGAATCGACAAGCTCCCGCGAGCCGTATAGACGAAATTTTTGCTATGTGTTAATATTTGTGCAAATCAGGACCAGCCGTTTTAAGTCTAATGGGCGAATAAATCAATAACCGTGTGCCCAATAAGCGGCGATCACTGTATAACATCATTAATTTTTTTTTTTAAATTAATCATTTACAGCTAAATGAATAGAAATCCGTATGTCAACAATAGTTTTAGATTCAATTTATATTGATACATGGGTAATAATAATATAATCAAATACTTAATATTAGGGAAATTAACTTATTTTTTTCACTATCTACTTTAATATTTAACAATTATTACTGTTTAACTCTAAGGTAAGTAAATCAATAACATATATGCATTTTCAGTGTAAAAATAGTAATGTATTCAAGTTAGAGCTCTCTATTTCACGTATTCACGTGAAAATAAACATTAGTTAATCGAAAAACGCACACTTAAAAAATCCATTTACACGTGTAATTATTTACGTGTATATGTATTCACGTAATCACGAATTTTAGTGCTGTAATATGTATTTATTAATTATTTAAATTTAGACAAAATTAGTCATTGTAGGTATCAAAATCTTCTGCAAATGTAACATAAATTATTTATGTATTTATAATAATTTGAAACATATGATACAGTATTGCACAAATATCCGTGAATACGTGAATAACTCTATTAAAAATTCACGTGTATACGTGATTATAAAGGTTTGTTCACATACGTATTAATTCCCGTTTTCAATCGAGACCTCTAATTAAAATAAAATGATATTATAATACCTATGCATTTAAAAATTGTAGCTTAATATTATTTAGTCATTAGTTATTACTAATCATTAATTAGTACCTATATAAAATTGATATTGACCCCTTGTATGTTGCACCAAACAAATATTTTAAATTCCTAACAAAGCAAAGAATACATTGATTTTATAATAATGTTATTATTCTGTGATTAAACAATCGGGTAGTATGCATACATCGTCCTGTATTAGATGAGGTAAGAAATTAAAATACTATAAATATATTAAGGATTATTGGTACATTATATATGGCAAAAAATATTGAGAGTAAAATGTATTATAAACAATTTAAAAATTATTTATTCTGATTTCACTATAAGTTCTATAATATTTATCTAGTTTTAATTAGTACTCTTTTATTTTTGTTTACATTTTATAAAAATGATTAAATTTTAAGGCAGAACAAAATGTTTATCATCTATATCAGTCTCCATAAAAGATTCAACGAAAGTGGTTGACCATGACAAAATTTATGTAAATTGGTTATTATGCGCTGGTCAATTTGAAAATATTTTTGTAGATTTAACTGAATGTGATAGGTATAGTTTTATCTATACCTATATATAACTAAAAACTGAAGTATTACCAAATCAAATTATATTCATTCAAGAAAATGTCCAGATTATTAGCAAAATAAAATCTAAATCTAAAGAATTTTTAAAAAATGCAAATATTGTATTGGAACAATTTTCAGAAAGTACTGAAACTTCATTGTCAAATAACATTATTGATGAATTTATAGATCATGATCCTGGTGGTTGTGGCCAATTATTTCAACTTCACAGCACCAATATCTTATAACTTTAGAGCCACATCAGCTTAAATTAACTAGATACCTACCCTATGAATTCTAACATTAATAAATGTAAACAACACAATTCTAGTTCTAAATGGTATAATGAATATATTTTAATAGAGTATAGTATTTTGAAATATTCTGTAAAATATTTTGTGTGTTCACTACATGGTCCTAATAAATTCTATTCTGATGCAGTATGGATAAAAACTGGTGTTAATTAGTGGCATAAAATGAAGAGTTGTGGTGCTAAAAAGTTGGGAAAACTTAAGCAACATTTTTCTTCTACTTCACATAAAGCATGTTTCAATGACGAATATAAATTCATGACTAATTAAAATCACGTTGATATAATTTTGAACAGACATAATAGAAAAGAAATAATACAATTAGAGCAAGGATAAGATTTTAACAAGAATATTATTATTATGTTGTTTGATATTGCTCGAACATTAGCTCGACAGGGTTTAGCATTTCGAGGTGTTGGTAATGAAAATGGTGGCAATTTTATGCAATTAGTTAAATTATTGTCTAGACATAACCCATTAATGAATCGTTAGATTAAGGAGATTTCTACACGATCTTATAAAGTTCATTACTTAGGACCGAGATCACAAAATGAATTCATTGAGTTATTGGCTAACAAAACACGTAAAATAATTGTAAATTAAGTAAAAGAAGCAATCATCTATTCTGTATCAGCTGATACAACATCAGATATCTGCTCACACGACGATCGTTTAGCAGTACATACATTTTATGTCAATAATCAAGAGAAGGCCGTCGAGTGACTTTTAGAGATTTCAAAAGAAACAGATAAGACTGATTTAGGTACAGCTAAATAAATGATGAATATCTTAGAAAATAACACGTTTAATCCAGGATTAATAACTTTTCAGTCATATGACTTGGCTAGTAATGAAATGTCTGGAAGATAAAATGGAGCCCATATAAAACTTTCAGAACTGAATGGTCATCAAATTCTATTTATACCTTATCAAATTAACAGACCTAATACATTTTTAGAATATAGTTGTGATGCAAGTATAATTATTGCAAATATGTTTGATACTTTAGAAAATCTCTATTTATTTTTTTCTGCAAGTAGTAAGAGGTATGACTTACTAAATATAAAATTATCAAAAATAGAAAAGCTAAGAAATTTATCTAAAACACGTTGGACAACAAGAGTAGAAAGTGTCAAAGCTGTATGGGGCTTATTAGAAGCAATTATTAAAAGTCTTGATGAAGTACTCGTATGTTCCGATAACGGAAATTTTGATAAGGGAACAATATCCAAAGTGTTTGGTCTTCAAAAGCAATTACTTTCATTTTATTTTATTGTTTCTATAATTGTTATGAAAAATATTATGTACAAATTAAAATGTCTAACTGAAACTCTTAAAACTAAAAATTTATGTATAATTTATACTATAGCTTTAATTGGTAGTACCATTGATTATAAATACTAGTATTTATAATCAATGGTAGTACTATAAAAATGAGTGAGATAAAATCTGATGATCAAGCTTAAAATAATTTAATTGACAGCGTTTTATCTTTTACAACTTTACTTGGAACAAACCCATAGGCGCAACTAGAAGCCAAACACTGGGGGTGCTAAAATTATGACCCGTGGGGGCTATGCCCCCACACCCCCAAATACCATATTTAAATCTTATAATTACTATAACCATTCTTAAATGAACCATAAAAACATGGCACACAATATTTAAGTATACTAACAGTAATATACCTGATATTACATATATTATATTATTTAGGCGATACAAATAAAAAAATCTATTTTATAATTTGTTAAAATTATTATGTATTAATAATATAATTTAAAATTTTTAGCAGTTACTTTTATAAGGTACATTTTATAACTAAATATATAATTCAAAATTCTTACATGTCATACTAATATTATTTTTCTTTTAGTAGTTGAATATTTTTCTAGTATTTCTGATGAAGTAATTTTATTAACAATATCTCTTTCAATATTCAATATTGATAAATCTGTGAAACGCTGTTGCTCCATACTTGCCCTTAGCCAGTTTTTTAGACGACGCATTGAGGAAAAGCTTCTTTCACAAGTAGCAGAACTCACCGGAATTGTAAGAGCAACTTGTAACATTTTATACACGTTTGTAAATGTGGACTCCTTACAAATATCTTTAGTAACATCATGATTATAATTGGAAAGTAAGCAGTTCTTTATAACAAGCATTTCAGCTTTCAACAAATTCAAATTGATATTCATAACAACCTTAAATTAAAATTAATTAATTTATTATTATTAGTACATAAAAAAAATCACTTGCATTGAAATATAACACACTTTATAATGATTTATGAAGTATTGACTCTTTTCATAGTCCATTTCGATAAAACAATCGAACTAGCCATTTCAAGACTTTCATCATAGGTTACAGTTAAAACACTTCACATGAGAAAACAAAATATATTTTATTACAACCGTCAACCTTACAGTAATGGGTTTAGAAAATGACAATGGTCAACGAGTAGAACGTATACGGTATACAGTATTGAGTATACATTATAATATGATTTTTGATAAACAAATAGCTAATTCGTGGAACAGCCGGACAATGACATTTGGCGATTTATTGAATAAACTACAGTGACAGTATTCTATAAATAAACTACTGGTTTTATCCATTTATCACTTATCTGTTATCTAACCCTCATATTTTTAAATTATATCAATTGATTACTGCTAACCACGATTTTAGATAAACATATTTAATCGTGCTGCTAATTTATTATCTATGACTGCTACGATATTGTCGATATTAATATATTATATCACGTAATATTTGATATAACGTATAACTATAATCATCACAAACAATTTGTGTTTCTGCTAAAAACGACAAATAAAAATAACTTGCGTAAAATGAACAAACTTATGTTTTTCACGCGATTTTACAATTCATGGTGTTTTTGAACTGGGGGTGCTAAATTAAAGTCTGGGGGTGCTGAAGCACCCCCAAGCACCCCCCTAGTTGCGCCTATGAACAAACCCCGAAAGTTATTTTAAAATACATCATCGCAGAAGACTATGTCCTAAACAAATCGACTCAAGACCATCAACTGAAGTTGAATTTACAATACATTTATTTTACCGAAAAGAATTTAAGTAAGTTCTTGATAAACTGATCATGTAATCAAATAGCAACTTATAACAATGTATTTCTTCTGTTTAGCCGTTGTTCAAGTTATTTTCACAACAATTAGATAAATCAAATATTGGTCTTGAAAACATTACAAATTCTTTCTCTTTATTTCCATTAAATAGTACAGGCTCTAATCTAAAAGATCTAGATTTAGTCCAAAATCAACTAAATATATTATTCAACATGTTAAAGGATGATTTAAAAAATTTTAAATCTTTAATGGAAAAATCTGAAGAAGTCAAACATATTTTTCTATGTGGTAATTTATTATGTCGTTTAGCATTAACTTCTCCAATGACTGTTGCTTCGAATGAGAGGCATACAGAAAATTAAAATTAGTAAAGACATTTCTCAGATCAATAATGAATGATGACGGATTAAATTCCTTAGTAATATTAGGAATAGAAAAAGATTGTAGACCAATTGGATAGGTATTATAATTTGTTAATACAAAAATGGTCAATGTTGAAAGAACGTAGAATACAAATTTAACTATTAATTTTTTTTAAGTAATTGTTATTTTAATATCATTTTATATAAGAATTATTTTTACAAGGTTAATTCTTAATAAAAAAAACTTACTTTATGTTATATATAATATATTTAATATTTATTAAAATATGTGTATTTGAATGCCTGAACATCATGATTATATTGTACACACCTTGTTTTATAATAAAATCTTTGGTTAAAATTTAGATTTATTATATATTTATATATTTATTTGCTACCATAGTGAATTATAACTATTTTTGATTTAAATGTATAAACATTATAAAAAATTGTGTATGAAATAATAAGAAAAAAAATAATTTAATAAATTGATAATAATGTATAATGTAATGTATAATGATAATAATGTAATAACCTAAACAATCTAAACTTTAGATTATCAATCGAACGAAGTGAGAAAATTTTTTCTTCTCAATTTTAAGACTCCACGAGTTGGCAATTAGTAGACTACTGCACCCCCCCTCCCCAATAGTTTGTTTTCGGGACGGCCCTGAAAGCGAAGGAGAAAAATAAGACTTATACACTTAGTTCTTCATACTGGTAGATATTTATAGATATTTACTATGCATTTAAATGCTTAGTATATTCAACTAGAACCCGGAATTTATTATTTTATGTTATTTATTAATTATATTTTTTGTAAAACAAAAATATACGATGTTACATATGTGTTCATAAATTTAGATTATAAAATAAAAATAGTAATATTATGTATCGCTATATATGACACTATATAATTATATATTAATAGATGAATGGTATCACATAGTAATTTCTATATAGATTTTACTGCTATATAATCAATAGCTTCGGGGTCGACACTTATGATACATCGTCTCAATTTCCATTAAACTTTCTCTTAAGACATTTGTTCATTCGTTCATTATGTTTACGTGTGATATTATTTGTCTAGATTCTATAAGTAAATTCGCAAATTTTTTAGAGTCCACCATTTATATTTCATGATTAATTTTGAATTCGCTTTTAGTAATGCCTATTCTAAACAATGTACTATTTAAAAGTCATTAAACATTTCTGGAGAGAGTATACCTGAATACCTGATGACTGATACGAAGTCGTAAAGATATCTATGTGATTGTATGAACTTGTCTGAAATATAGGTTGAAACTACAACCCAAGTATTCCGGGCCCACTAATGAAAAATATTTTATGTTAGGTACATACTATAAAATAAATCGTATTTGACATTTAGTAGAAAATAATTTATATTACTATAATATCTAATTGATTGAAAATAGTGTTTACAATTCGGAACCAAACAATAATGAATTCCTGGATTAATAAATTGTATTTAAAATACTATTAATTGGTTTTTAACATTCAAAATATGTATCTCATATACTTCATATAGAAACATAATAAAGTAAAAGGCACATTATATAATATAATACAACGATTGACGAATATTTATTTCTTGTAAAACTGTTTTAAAAATTGTATTGATAATTTATTTTATATTTTATAAAATTTAATAATACATCTATTCTTCCAATATTCATGTATATGATTAAATAATAAGAAGTAACGTACAAATGGAATACATAGATAAAAACAATGATGTAGAAAAATTGGATATTTTTTAATAATAATAAATTATTACTTAATAAATTAAACCACTTTTTTATAATTTTAGATACTTACGTTTGAATTGCACGTAAACGTTATTTTTTGTGATCGATTAATTTTAGTCAGCGGAGTACGCAGAATTCATTTTTGGGGAAGGTGGTACCATTATATATTCATAAAAGAATGTTTATATAACTATATTATTTTTCTATTTAAGGTCATGGTACAAATAATTTTAAAAATTTATATTTTATGGTAAAACAATTGATAAAAAAAAATATATTTAAACCTTAAATTATTCTAGACGGGAATTTTAACGCCTAACTTTTGCATTCAGTTAATTTAGAACATCATTAGTCTTCAACTATTTATTTCGATGAATTTCGATTATTTCGAATGAATATCAGGTCTAATCCATTCAACTTCCTGTATAATCAATTTTAGTTTTTTTGGAAAAATATGACTCAATTGTTTTGTCGCGTTTTGACATGATAAAGAACTTTAACCGAATAAGCCAAATGTAAAATACTAAAATATGTAGTAGATAATAGATACCTAATCATTTCAGCCGACTACAATTTATAGAATTAACTTATTAAATTAATATATAAATTAATTTACAAAAAATTACAACTCCTTCGATAATAATATTTTATAACACATTGATAAACTGATGAACATTTGGATAATCTAGACACACGGTAGTGTGTCAAGCCAAGTTCTAGCTAACAGAATAAGCGAGCAGCACCGTGTGTAATATTACACGAACCATTTGGAATCACTTTTGACCACTTCATACGACAATATTTATCTGATTGAAATAATTTTTTTATCAAATGCATTTTCAAATATATGTTTACCTTAAAAAAGTTTAAAAATTTTGCAAATTGTTGGGTGCTAATTCGGTATGCGCTCTACTGGTTTTGGCGGTCTACGTTCGGTACACGGATATTGGACTGCAATTACTGTATCTATATGTGTTATCTGCCTCGGTTTTCACTCAATGGGCTGCATATAGGTGTCTCACGAGCCGAGGTTTTGTACCCGAGTGGCAGGCCCTATTATTTGTACAGTTTCGGACTTGATTTTACTGCTTTAAATGAAAATTTAGTCTTGCTACTGTCTTAGAAAAAGGAATATATTACATACATAATATATATATATATATATATATATGCATTAAATTTTAAAAAAATCAATAATACTCATATTTCCTAGTAGTTGGCTTATTTTTTAAATTTTGTTATGTAAACCGTAGTGCACACACGTTAAAACCGTTGTATACACTTGTACATTCGTGGTGCACATTATGTGTCGTGGTGCACATAAAAATAGGGCCTGCTAAGTGGTAAATCACCAAATATCATATATGTCGATGCAAATACAAGAGCCCATACTCGAAACATTAAGAGGTTATGGTTGGACGCGAAAATTAAATTATTGAAGAAATTGAGGGGTATTCCTTTTATTCATTTGCAGTCCCATCTTGATCACAATTTCTGGTGACTTTACCGTCAAGACAGCCCGGACCTTTTTCTCGCCATGTTTCTCGATATTCAGATCGTTAATAGAGATCATTTTTGATATAACTCAGTCAAAATCACATATACTGACTCAGACACATTTTGGTAGAGCACAAACCGAATCATAAATAACAATATAAATATAAAACAACTGACTCAGACACTTGTCTGTAAAAAATCATCAATAAAACAATATAAAAAATATAAAATAAAACCCAATCAAAACAATCTATGTAGACTGTAGAGCACATACTGAATCAAAAACTTGTGGGTAGAGCGCATACCGAATTAGCACCAATTTTTGAACATTTTTTTAATTGGAGTTTGAATTTAAAATTTTACAAAAAAAAATCTTCCCTGGTTGGTATTGCTCAGAGCAGTTTTTCAAATACAATAATTTGTTGATTATTAAAAATTTTAAAGGTAATACTAAAACATACATAATAGTTTAAATCAGTGATTTAATTTAAGGCACTCAATATGTGTTGACTTGTTTTACAAAATTTATCTATTACCTACTTTATCATAATTGTTTTCTATATAGTAGTTACATAA